TGGGTAATGCTGCAATGATCTGTTTGGTGTTTGGAGCCAAACACTTCAGAGACATGTTTTGTATCTGAGACCTATAACATATTGATGAAAAACAGTGTCATAGGGGACTTTTAATACCCAGCATTATGTGTACTTACACTGTACTGCTGATTTCTCCAGGCTGTTGGATCAGCATGCGGGTGAGACGGCAGATTCTCCTCTCCTCGACCCGTGTCTCCCCGCTGACCTGCAGGATGAGATCGGTTCGTCCACAGAGAAGCTCCATCTGCGAGGCACAGGAGACTTTGACCAGTGTCGACACATCCTGCAGCCGTTCCTCAACCGCACCAACGAGACCCTGACCTCCCTCAACGGCATCTACCAACCGGCCATCAACTACAACAACAGCCAGTTCTACGGCTTCTCCGAGTTCTACTACTGCACCGAGGACGTGCTGCGAATGGGCGGGGACTTTAACTCCTCCAAATACTCCAAGGCTGCTAAGGTAAACGCTCCACAGGGAGAGAGGGTCTTTTGTGCTCATTCTGTTTCACAGAGTAGAAGGAGACGCTATTAGCCCTAAAAGAGGAACGTTTAGATTTCACTCTGTTGGTATCAGTGGTGGAAGTAACTAGTCGTTAAGGACACATTTGAGGTACTTATACTTCAACCAATCATTTTCATTTTATAGTACTTTTACTCTACGACATTTTGGAAGCACATTTTTGAGTTATTTACTAGTTACTTTCTAAATTCAGATTTTGACACACAATACTTAAATATGTGATTATTAGTTATAGATTAATAAAAAAAATAAAAAATGTTTAAAAGAAAATGTATTGGAATTAAGATTTATTTGATAAAAAAAATTTCAGTTCCAGATTCTTAAATGTGAAATATTTAAATAAGTTTTTTCTGCAATTAGTTATTTTACTCCTAATACTTAAAGTACATTTTCCTAGTCGTTCTTAAATACTTTTACTTGAATTGAGTATTTTTACAATGTAGCATTAGCACTTTTACTCAAGCAAAGAACCTGCAATTTGTTTTCACAAATTGTCCAAGTATACACGCATGAAACAGGACCTAATATAGATTAGGCCTAAGATGCACAAACATGGAGAGATGTCTGAGTGAAGGGGCTGCAATGTTTCGGCACCCAGGATTAGTTAGGGGTTCAGTGCATTGTAGGGCTGTACCCGAATATTCGTTCGTTGGAGTACTATTCGGATTTCAATTTCGTTATTCGGATATTGTTTGTTTTTTTCCGTTTTTTATTTTTATTTATTGAAATCTCTAATATCAACGTAAGAGCTTGTGCCTCTTCGGGGGGTGCTAACACTTAACCGTAAACGTTTACTTTCTCCATCTTTATATGTAGATATTACTTTTTCTCCATTAATCTCCGTCACGTTGTTTCCATAGCAACAACTATTTCCTGTCAACTGCGCTAACTCTCCTTCAAAATAAAAGCATGTCCATACAAAAATAGAAAGCCAAGCCAAATTACACTTAAGACATATACAACTGGAACGAAAGTAAAGGACTTGAACCAGTGATCGAGCTAAGTATCTACGGACTGAGCAGCTGCCACAGTTGTAGTCCATTTATGCAAAACTAAACAAGACGTGTATTCCTGTT